TATACTGACAGCACATGTATTTTGTTTCCCTGCCCATTAGTAGGGTATGTTTGACATGTGGCTGGTCTTGCTATTTTGTCAGGAGGTTCTTATTATAGTATGCAATCTGTAGTTAACTGGAACATAGGATATCCATAAAAAAGAGTATAAAATTCTTTTTTTTTTTTTTTTTTTTTTTGCCTTTTGAGAGGGTCTCACTATGCAGTTCAGACTGGTCTTGAGCTCACTTTGAAGCCAGGCTGGTCTCGAACTCACAACAATCCTCCTGCCTCAGCATTCTAAGTGCTGGGATTACAGTTGTGCACCACCACACCAGGCCAAGACCTTTATTTCTGCTCTGTATCTGTTATCATCACTAAACTGACAGCTTTCCAGCAATAATCCTCACCTCTACCCTACTACTCTACCCTACTACTACTGGGGATTGAACCTTTGCACTGAGCTGTATCTTTTTTTTTTTTGTCTTTTTGAGACAGGGTCTCGTTATGCAGTTCAGGCTGGCCTTGAGCTTACTTTGTAGCCTAGGCTGGCCTCAAACTCACAGTGATCCTCCTGCCTTAACCTCCTGAGTGCTGGGAATACAGGCCTGAGCCACCAGGCCTGGTTTACCCTTAGTTTTTTGAGGTAGAGTCTTACTATGTAGTTCAGGCTGGTCCTCAAAACTTCTGTGATCCTCTTGTCTCAGCCTCCCAAGTGTTGGGATTATAGGCATGCACCACCACATCTTTTATTTTTAAGACAGGGTCTTTTTTATTTTTAAGACAGGGTCTTTTTTATTTTTAAGACAGGGTCTTTCCAAATTGCCCAAGCTGGGCTGACTTGGGATCCTCCTGTCTCAGCCTTCCACACTGCTGGTACTAAAAGTGTACACTGTTTAATATGTGCACGCTTGGCTTAGTAATTTTTTTTTTTTTAAGTTTTTTTCCGGTACTAGGAATCAAACTCATGACCTCACGCTTGCCAGGCAGGTGCTGTGCTGCTGAGCTAAATCCCCAGCCCTCTTAGTGATGTTTTGATCCCACAATTTCTGGGATGAAGTTGTAGGTGTAGAGTTTTATTAATTTTGGTAAACAATTTAGGCACAGTATTATTTTGGTGCTGGAATTGAGCCTCCACATGCTAGGCAATTGCTCTACCAGTAAGCTACAGCCCTAGCCCCCATTTTGGCATAACGCTTGAACTTCGCGTTTAAGATCTTGAAATGTACCCTTTCCCACCGTGCCTACAATTGAAGTAGCATACGATGAAAGACTGCCCTCTTGTGGTGCATTGCAAGAAAATCAGAAAAGATGCAAAGCCCGGTAGGTGGCTTATAAATTGGAAAGTCTCTTACATGCCAAAGAAAAGATGGTACTGGGTAGGGTAGGAGGACCCTGTTCATGGGGAGCTCTCTAGCACTGGATGTTTGTGCTGAATATCCGTAATAGCAGACAGCTGGTTCTGTTTGCACGTATTTTCTGCTATCATCTTCACTTCGGTGTAAATTTCTGAAAGTTCCCAATTAAATTCATTTTCACCAAACAGACCCATATTCATTGGTACCAGTGAGGCTAGTGATAGAGACATTTGGGCCCAGGTAGAATCTACTGGAGATGGGATCAGAGGGTCAGTAGTCACAGCCTGACACCTTCCTTAGGTTTCATGGTTTCAGAACTAGCCTGGTACGGCTACTTTCTACTGAATGGTCAGGGAACCAATCATTCAGACCCCTTGAGGAAATTTTAAAGACATTAAAAAGAGCCAGAAAAAAAGCATAGGGAGAAAAAAACAAACCATGAATAATGCTGTGAACCAAATGCCTTAGGCCAGCTGTATCCAAGTCAAAAAGCTGGGCTAGCCACTCCTCGGTTTGCCCTCACAGGGCTGCATTCTCATGAAGAAATTTGTTTATTTTTAGGTTTTTTGAGACGGGCTTTTTTTTTTTTTTTTGGTGGTGGTACCAGGGATTGAACTCATGACCTTGCGCTTGCCAGGGAGGCGCTTATGCCACCGAGCTATATCCCCAGCCCTAAATTCTTATTATTCTTTTTTTTTTTTTGCCGGTACCGGGAATTGAACTCAAGACCTCGCGCTTGCCAGGCAGGCGCTGTGTCGCTGAGCTAAATCTCCAGCCCCCTGAGACGGGCTCTTGCTCTAACTCAGGCTGATTTTGAACTCACCATGCAGTCCAGACTGGCTTTGAACTCGCAGCAATCCTTCTGCTTTAGCTCCCCAAGTGCTGGGATTACAGCATGTGCCACCACGCCTGGCCTCACACAGACATTTAAATGAACAAATGTGTTTGGTGGTTAAAGGTGCTACGAAGGAAAAGCAAGGTTAGAGGGGCAGAAATGGGACAGAGAGTGTTTTATAAGAGCACTCAAGAGAGACCACTCCTTACGGCCGTACTCAAGCAAGGGCCTGCTAACCGCGAAGCCTCAAGAGAGACTCTCTGTCGAAAGCAGCTGCAGGCGGGAGCACTCCATGTGTACGTACTGCTTCACTAAACAGGAAGCATCCGGACCAAGTAGAACAAGGACATTTTCACTAAGGTTTTTTTATTTTTGTCTTTTTGAGACAGGGTCCTACTATGCAGTTCAGGTTGGCCTTGAGCTCACAACAATTTTCCTGCCTTAGCCTCCCCAGTGCTGGGGTTACAGCCATGTGACATCATGCCCGGCTACCTAAATTTTATTCTGCATGGCATAAAGTATTATATGTCACTGTATTCTTGGCAGAATAGCAGGCACAAAATAACCACTCAAAATGATTTCTGCATTTCATCTCTTTCCCAATATTATAATTTCAACCCCATACTCATTTTTCTCTAAATTGACCAATGTGCATGCACACCCATGGACATGAGCGAAGTGTGAGGAAAAATTTACTACAAAATGAAAACTTTCAGTGTTTTATTTTTGACTGCAGCTGTTTACAGAAATATAGTTGCGAGTATACAAATGTTCCAATAGAAGCAAAATATCTTTTTAATATTTAACAAGTTATCACAGATAGCTAAAAACATAGATGCAAATGAAATTCCCCCAGAGAAACTCAAAATATCTGGTGTCAGTGCTCTGAAATCCCAACTATGAAAGCCATATACACAAAAATGTAACCTTTATGTCACTGCAGGACAATAGAAGAAGGCAGTTCAGTGGTTGATCAGTGTGCTCAAGCAAATAAAATTAGTAAAAAATTAAAATGGCAGAAAGGTACCTAAACCACTTGAGAACAGATTAATGAAGTATTTATAACATACTTACTAAAAGATTAAGTAAAAGATATGAATGACATGAGTAAAAGTTGTCAAAAAAGGTAGCAATCACTTGGAGCTTATCACTGGAAGCAAGGGAAGAAGGTGAGTAGGTACATTCATTAGATCAAAAGAAATGAGCAAGTTTTGTGGAATCAGTCTGTTACTAGTTAAGTCATGATCACTTTAGTGCAAGACAATTCTTGTTGTTTTAAGAATCTTTCTATGTAGTTCAGGCTGGCCTTAAACTTGTAGTGATCCTCCTGCCCCAGCCTCCCAAGCTGGGGTTACAGGCATGCGCCACCACTCCCAGTGACAGCAGTTCCTTACTGGACACAGAAGTCTGATTCCAACCCCACTCTCACACATCTGAGATCTTTCGTGTGTGTGTGTGTGTGTGTGTCTTGAGGTGCACTAGCTAAAACAGTAAGCAAGAGGTCTCTACAAAGCAGACAAAATGATTTCTCAGGGTGGGGGTAAAGAATGAATTACAGTAAGCAAGTAGGGGTAACAGGGTTAAACACAACATTTTAAAGAAGGTCATTACAAACGGGTTGAGAAGAAACAGTGGTACACTTCTTTGGGTAGAGGAATACACAATGCTATGCAATAAAGTAGGGAAAAGGGAGTAAGAAAGGAGGAATGTAACTGGAGCGTCTCCCAATACTTTGCCTATGAATTCACTAGCACCAAAACTTGTAGAATAAGCCACTTAAACTTCCACTGCTAGTAGTAAGGAAGGACAGCAGTGGTGATTTTTAGAAAATGATTATACATTTTTAATCTGAAAAGTGAATTTTTTCTTTCATGACTTAACTAATTGGTGATTGTAAACAGTGGAAGGAAGATTAGAATACTTATGGAGGTACTGGATTAGACAAGTAAATAAAAATGAATAAATCTACTTATCTTGTGGCTAGTCTGCATTTACTATGATGCTAACAACTGAGAAGGGGAAAATGCAATGCATTATCTTGTTTAATAGTTATGTTAGCAAATAACTCTTATCTGTAGCGTAAGCTCCAAAGATAGCTGTATCTCAACTGCAACACTGCTATATGAAGCAAGCTATTTTTAAAGTAGTTTTATCTATTAAAAGGAAAAATCAAACAAGGTGCTGTTAGCCTGGCCGTCTTACTTACTATCTCAGATACAAATATAATTATAAGGAATGATAATTTTGTACTGAGAGTTGATCTAGCCACAGCAAAATTGCGATCTGCTAGTAAACTAAGAGGCAATGAAAGGAAAGCTTGTTTTACATTGCCCACAATGTACCCATATTATGGATAAATAGGAGAAGTTAGCACCCATCAATTATCTTAGCTACTTAAATGTCATAACAGTTAAAATATTGAACATTGCACCTATATATTTAAACCAGTCATTTAATGTAAACTTTTAGTAAGTGGTAGGAAAATGCCAACTAACCTGTCAATAACCAGACTAACTGTATATGTATGTGAAATACATGTGTTTCTTAGGCAGTACGGAGAGTAAATTATCATTGCCAATAAATGATTATAGACAACTGGCTAAGCTAAATTAATGTAAAGGACAATGCATAATCTTATCTCCATAAGTAAGAAAAGAAACTTTTTTTTTGCTCTCATTGGATATATTTTATACCAATGGTTCTTAAAAGTGTGCATCAGAACCACCTGAAGGGCTTGTTAATTCTGCTGCACTCCATTTCAGTCTATCTGGTATAAGGTTCAAGAACATGCACTTCTCACTGGTTTCCAGGTGACACTGATACTAGCTGGTGGCAGAGGAGCATACTGTAAGAACCATGGTTTACATGTGGAAATGTTCATAATATAATATTCTTATATAATAACACAAAATACACAGGAAGGGGAACTGGGCTTTAATTCATTTTCAAATATATAGGTTAATAACATTTTAATGTTTCTAAAATGGGTTGTTAAAGTATAGTAATTTTCCCTTAATTACATTTCTAAGTCCCACTATAAAGTCATTTTAGAGAATATCCACATAACACTTATAATATATACCTCACTATATATATATACCTCACTGATTATACCAACTCAGATATCCAAATTAAAAAGGGACACAGTATTCTAAATAGTCAGATGCATTCAATGGGAAAGAATCATTACTACATAGTATTTTTGGCTTCTTTGGAATGATTAAAGTGCATAATGTCAACAGGGTATTAAGAATATTGCATAAAGATCTGTAGTCCTCAGTGGCACTAACAGTCGCAAAAATTCCTGCATGTGGAAGGCAGCTCTATCACAAAGGTACTACAGTCCCAACCTGTTATTGATGGCCCTTTCTTTAAGCACCATCCCTGTGGTGAGGAGCTGGAACAAAAATAAAATTAATAAACCCAGAAAGACACTCAATCCAACCATATCTGGTAAAAATAATTTTCTTAGGCCTCAAAGAACTCAGCTATAACTTTTTCCTTATTTTGTTTGACACTAGTTTTCTTAGGCAAATTACTGAGGCTCGATGAACACGAAGTACACTATACCTGGGAGTGGTGGCACATGCCTATAATCGCAGCACTTGGCTGAGGCAAGAGGACAGTCCCAAGGCCAGCCTGAACTACAAAGCAAGACCATGACTCAGAACAAAACAGAACAAAACAAAAACCCCAAAGTGCACTATGATGAATTGCTTTGCCATAAAAAACTGACATTATCACGCCATATCTTTTTTTTTTGTCTTTTTGAGACAAGGTCTCTCTGTGCAGTTCAGGCTGGCCTTGAGCTCACTTTGTAGCCCAGGCTGGCCTCGAACTCACAACAATCCTCCTGCCTCAGCCTCCTGAGTGCTGGGATTACAGGTGTGCGCCACCACGCGTGGCTCCTTTTTTTTTTTTTTTTTTTTTGGTACTGGGCATCAAACTCAGGACCTTGCACTTGCTAGGCAGGCACCTGTGCCACTGAGCTATATGCCTAGCCCTCTATCTTATATTTTAGTGATTTACTCTCATCCAAGATCATAAAAAGATATTTTATAGTTCCTTCCTGCAATTTACACATATTTGCGTACATGTCCTCCAATAGACACAGTAAAAATTTCACTGGTATTCAAGTAAGACCTATCGGAGCTGGGGATTTAGCTCAGCGGCACAGTGCCTGCCTGGCAAGCGTAAGGTCATGAGTTCGATTCCTGATACTGGAGAAAAACCAAAAAAAAAAAACACCAAAACTTTAAAAAAAAAAAAAAATCAAGTAAGACCTATCACTATTTTGGTGAGATGAAGATAAATTTAGAGTTTATTTATATAAGCCTAATCAGTAATCTTTTACTTACTCCCCTAAGGACCAATTCTAGCAAGCGTCTTTCCTGCTATTCTTAAGTCAAAGGAACTTATGAAGTGAAAGCTGAGATTTAATAAAAAAACAGTTGTTTTTGGTAATAGTGAGAAATGAAATAAGAAAGGGGCACTATCATGGTAAAAAGGCACTTTTCCATACACAATTTCATCTAGATATAAAATATTAATGTACAAAATCTCCTGAAAGAACAAGTGGAATAAAAACAGAATTTTATTAATAGATGAGACTTCAAATAATATGAAAATAAAGACATTTAAAAAGTAATTAGAGCATTTCTGAGTATCATTCGTGAATTATCCTGATATTACATTATAAACACTATCTCTACAACTTAGCTCTAGTGACACAAATAGGCATAAGGGAAAACCTCTTGTATGTTACGAGATTCTACTATAACCCACTTACTAGGGTATATACTGAGTTTCTTTTTTCTTTTGGTAATGCTGGGCATGAAACCTAGAGTCTGGCACATGCTAAGCAAGTGCTTTACTACTGAGCTATACGCAGCCCTGAGTTACTGCTCCATTTATCCCAACTACAGTCTCTCTCTCATTAAGTCCTTCCTAACAGCCAAAGGCATGCAGATATAAAATGGTTGTCTTGGTTAGGAATGAAACCTATGGTCAAGATGCAGGGTAAAGCTAATAGGTCTCATATAATTTCCAGTTAGTTTTAAATAATCAGGAAATAGATATCAGATGAGAAAAATTTTACCGGAAAGATGAAAAATTCTCAATTGTTCCTAATGAATACCTACAACTATGTCAAATTTATTAATTAATCATTTCATTCAAGTCATTCTTTGTTGATGTATCTAACAGACCACTTTTCTGAAACAAGCATTTATAATGGCTTAAAAGGTCAAAAGGAATTACTTTAGTTCTTAAAGGATGGAGATCTAGCATCTTCCTTATTTACTTTGACATTATTTTTCCTGGGTAGATTGGCCAAAGTTATGATGGGCAAAAAATACATTATAATGAAATTTCAAGCACATTATTAAAAAAAAAAAAAAGCAGGAATGGTGAAAGAAAATGAGAGGGAAGGAAGGAGGAGAGGGGAGAAGAAGAGGGAGGAAGGGAAGGAAGGTCCCTTACAAATACTGCTTCTAGAATGAACAAAGCCCTTTAAAACCTGTTCTAGGGAGACTGGGTAAACAGACTTTCATTGGCTAAATAACAACATGATCTTCTAAATCATAAGTAACGTGATACTCTTATCACATTCATATGATAAAACTCAGAAACAAAATACGACTTCTAATTATCCTCTATTGGTGTACATATATAATGGAATGATAAGGAAAAACTCACATAGAAAGATAAGAGACAGAGAGATAAGCTCCAAGCATTTGTGTGAGTCGCTGAAAGCAAGAATAATTGAATGTAACAGCATAAAAAAATGTGGCTCACAGTTTATTTTGGTCTTTCTGCCATAAATTAATAAATTGTTGTTTCCAAGGCCTTTGCTGGCTCACTGAGTTTTGTACAGTTTCTAGCTGTAACTTGTAACAGTAATTAGGAAACTGCATTATTAGCGTAAGTATCAACCACTGAGCTAATTCTTCAATAAAAAGACAAATACTCTTTGTAACCAAATCATATATTCAGAGTGTCGAACTTAAAATTGACCTTTAGGGGTAAGGAACATTTAACAATGTTAAAAAAAAAAAACAACAAACAAACCAAAAAACTATCAATCATTATTGATTAAGAACATGGTAGCATATCACAGCCCTTGTATAAATAACCACAAAATTTATGAGAATAAAAATTGCGTTTTATGCCTCCATCCAATCAAACCACTACAGTTCAGGTATATATGTTCTGCTCCAAACCGAGATATTATAAAACAGAAAATTGGTCCCAGTGACTTGGCATTGCCAATCAGTATTTTGTAAGGACAAGCCTCTTGCTAAATCACAGAACAGAAGCACCACACAAGCCAGTCTTCTTGCCACCACCTCGTTCATGGTGCAGTATTAACACACGTTCGAATTGGAACCTGATGACCAGATAGACTTCTTGAGTATCCTACGTAATCTCAGAAGCAAATTCAGAGATAAATGTATAGTGTTTAAAAAATTATTTCTTTTCTAATACCTGCTGGGTTTGCTTTTTCTGACATTATAGGCAGCTCTCTAGGGTTAGAGTTTTACATTTTAAAACTGAAGTACTGGATTGTGTGGCTGATCCTTCTCATAACCTGAACTATATTGAGTAATTTTTCTTGACAGGGGACAGGGATAGAGATACATTGAGAAAAATACTTTTGGTTCAAAGAATTTATAAAGTAGCTCTGGATATTACAAGATGGGGAAAACGTTATTAAAATTACAAACATGGGATTTTTTTAGTGTTTTTATAAATAAAAGGCATAGACTACAGAAAGCCAATTAACAATAACAATAATAAAATATTAAATATATGGTGAGCAAAGACTGAATGGCTCATTCTTGTGAAACACCAATGGACACAACTGTCTCAACAGGTTTCCTCACTCATTATCTTTTTGCTGAGTGAAAGATCCAGCAAACATACAGGAAGCTGCCTTTAGCCCACTAATAACATCAAGGAACTGCCTGATGGAATGGCTATAGATGAACAGGTCATTTGTTTCAAAAGGTACTTAAATACTCAATAAAGACATAACAAACCCCCCCTCACTGTTATCAGACGCCACGTTGTGGTAGAACATCAGACAAACTCACAAATTTACCACAAAAATGTGTGGCAAAAAAAGAATAGTTTATATATATGTATATATATAAATTTCTATATTTATGCCAATGTACTCACTCAGTACAAATAGCAAAATAGTATACCATTTCCTAAATACAAAATATAGCTTTCCAAAAAAATGAAACACACATTAGATATAAACCATCCAAAACTTGAACGATTGAAAACTGTATTCAAAATTAAATGACCCAGAGTAGGTCTCTTTCTGAAAAGTTCCCTTCATATCGGCAAGAAGCCTGTACTACTGAAAACGTAATTCAATGCCTCTCAATCAGAGAGAGAGAAAGAAAGACAGGGTGGGAGAGTGGAAGGAAGTACAGAGGAGAATAAAGAGAAAAGCAGAAGAAGAGCACATTCAAAGAACAAAGGAAGACATCATAGAAAGGGTAAAATCTAGCTATAGAAACAAAACCAACACCACAATTTCACACAGGTCAACTAAATGTATAGGACAGGTAGAGAGGAAAAAAAAATCAAACAGAAAAGTAGCCTCTAACAACAATTAACAGGTTATTTTTTGTACATTTAAAAAAAGAATGGACAAGGATACCGAAACTTTGTATCAATACATAGAAGCCACACACACACGTTGGCCTTACACTGCATTGACAGCTTTCCACATGCCCAAAGGAAAATGAGACATAAGCACATATCCAGACACAGGTGATAGTTAGAAGCAGGCATCCCATGGGTGGCAACAACACCCAAAACTGTATAACTAACGCTACATCTGCAAATTCTGGAGTGTGTTATTTTGCTCTTTATAGATGTAATACAAGTTAGTACACTTCATTTTAAGTCAATGATATGACCCTAGAAAGCCTAAGGCTTGTGGGAGCCATCAGGTAAGTGACCTCCTAAACATTAAAGCACTGAGGTGACAAGTGAATTCTATTCACTGCAGCTCAGGGAGAAGCGATGTTTCAAGAAATTTTAGTTTGCCTTTGTTTTTCAAATGAAAAGGTATACTGTTTTCTATTATTATCATATGTGCTGCTGAAACAAGCACTATACTGTTTTCTATTAGAGGGGAAATTTTAGACTTCAGAACAGCACCGTTCATGGGGACAGGGTGGGGGTGAGGGACAGATGCATTGTTTTCTCAGTAATCGGCTTCCAATAATTCCTAAAGAGCTCTCCTCGCCCTGTGCTGCAGAGCTGCTAGGTCACCCTGGGTCAAAGTGGCCTTTCCCTTTAAGTTGCTACAGGGTCACAGTAGTATATTAATAGTTGTCTAAATGTAAGTGAAAAGGAGGTGGAAAGTAACAGTGATGCACACAAAAGGGAATTCCAGCCTAAGACTGGGTTAAGAAGAAAAGAGACTAAATTACTGTCAGTTTACAACTGCAGGAGGACATCAGAACATAGTTTACTATGTATTCCCCTCTTCATTTTTCATAGAGCAAAATAACAATTTTCTATGTAGTTATGGCTAACCCTCTTAGTAGAAATACAGAGAACTAACTCTCTAACAAATAAAATCAACAGCATTCCAGCTGTCTCCAGTTTTGTAAAGTATGTTATCATCTGCTTTTTTATTTAATCCAGAGTCCTCTTATTTGTGTAGAGTTCTTAATACAGCTTGTCAGAATGTTACCCCTTCAATTTCTCCATAAAAATGAAAGAGTCCTTCACTTTGGCCAACAGCTGTACTTTTCATATTAAAAAAAAACAAAAACAAAAAAACACAGCCTTAGTTATTAATGAACTTTACCTTTCAAAAACCTTTGTGTGACTAAAATAATGCGATAAAGAGAATAATGATCAAAAGTAAACATGACAAATATTTTCTAATAGCAATAATAACTGAGTGGTTCAACTTTGAATTTAAACTGCACTTTTAAAGAAATTGTGCCTAGGAAAATGGCAACAATTATTTCTGTCAGAAATTCAAATAGATTCTCAGTCATCATTGTTATTAGGAATATAAAATATGAAGATGTTAACATTGGTGGCTAATTACACAACAGGCAGCATAGGTACGCTCTTTCGCAGTAAGAATAAAATCTATCCATGTACTCAGTTTTTCGTATTTTGTTTTGTTTTTAAAGTAATATAGTTCAATAAGCTTCATGGAACCACACGATCTCAGGACGTCTTGGAATCATGATTTTTTCACAAGGAATTTCTAAGAAAAAAAGTGGGGGAGAGAAAAACTTAACATAACAAATAGGAAAGTATTTTTTCTCTTTTTTTTTACTGGTACATTTTACTTTTACTTTTGTTTTTGGGGGGGTTGCTGGGGATTGAACCTAGGGGCCTTGCACATACTAGGTAAGCAATCTATCACTAATCTCTATATCCCCAGCCCCTGCAACATCTTAGATCTACATAATAGTAACATCCACCATATGGAATTTGTACCTGTATACGGTAAATCTTGCTTCTTTTTTCCCATTTCCCTCCCTTCTTCAAACCCTCTTCTCCTTATCTACGAAAGCTTTGCTTTCAATTTTTCCCTCTGTTCTTTTTTTCCCCTCAGCCTTTTCTTCCTTCCTTTCTTCCTTCCTTCCCTCCTCCCCGCTCCCCTTCCCTTGTTCCCCTTCTCATTTGAACATTTTCTTCCCAAGAGAGTAAGTACTTCTAGAAAGTATTTATAAAATGTGTCTTCCTGAAAGAACTCAAAGCATATTATAGGACTCTAAGTGGAGCTTTATCATATTTATTGTTCCACATACTTTTCTCACTCAATAGTTCTTAAAGAAAACAGAATGAGACATGATCATATCTAATATATAGTATGAGGGAAACACAATTGGTACTCATCAGATTTCTGTTATACCTAGGCAAGGAAAGCTTAGAGCCAAAAGGAATGCCCAATATTAACAATAGGACCATAAGCTATCATTCAGAGTAATTTACCATCTTATGAGAAAGCAGTATTTTAATAATTATAGGCTAAGCAGTACTTTAATTTAACCAAAATCGATAAGAAGAAAAAAATATACGGATGCTTTTCCATAAGAAGCCAAAATGGAGCTGGGCGTGGTGGCACATGCCTATAATCCCAGCACTCAGGAGGCTGAGGCAGGAGGATCGCTGTGAGTTTGAGGCCAGCCTGGGCTACAAAGTGAGTTCAAGGCCAGCCTGAACTGCATATAGTAAGATCCTGTCTCAAAAGGTCCAAAAAAAAAAAAAGAAGCCAAAATATAAATACTTACATATCCAGTTAAAAGGAGCCAGTCAAGTTGTTCCCTTGGTTTTGCAAAGAAACAAGCAAATCAATCTTTTCAATGTTCTGGTTGGTGTTTATAGAGGATGCCAGTGGAGAACTCTCTGGCATTTGCTGAGAAAGAAGTGTTGTCACAGGTGATTGGCTCTCATTTTGTGGTTGGCCTGGCTGACTTATGGCCATCAACTGCTCTGGCAGTGTACCTGGTCCAGAGGTTAAAAGCTGACTACAGTCTGCAGAGACATTGAAAACAGAAGCTACATGATTAGTTAGGATTCATGAGAAAATCAGTTGCCATGGAAATTTGTAACTGTATTTTTATCCAGTATATTACTAAAAGTGAGGCACCTGATAGTCTGAGAAAAAGGTTTTTGGGGCTGGGGATCTAGCTCAGCTGCACAAGTGCCTGCATGGCAAGTGCGAGGTCCTGAGTCTGATTCCCGGCACCAAAAAAAAAGGTTTTCACAGAATGATATTGGGGTTCATCTTAGGTTTCCTCTAAGTAGTATAAAATACAATTTTTCTTAGGTAACAACATCCTAACACCTACATAATTCTTCCTTGATAAATGAACATTAAAGATAGGTGTCTACCTCCTTACAAACTACTTACTTTAATTGGCTAGATACTATCTGATATTCTTACTTCATTTTCCTTTCAGGTTTATAGCTTAAAATGCCAAACAGATACATTTTTATACATTATCACATTTAATCCTCCTAATGCCCTTGTCAAGAATATAATATTGCTGTTTTGGAATGTGGAAATTTAGCCCTATAAAGGTCAACTAAATTGTCCAAGATCTCTTATTTTTTAATTGGCAGAATTACAAATATACTCTATGCACTTAAAACTAATGTATTTTGCTTCTGAAATAACAATGTAATCATTTCTATTGAGTAATGAGAAATTAGAGTTTCTTACTATTCTGAATGCCAAATAAGAACATTCCTGAAGTCGGCTGCGAGGAGCCAGAATTCTGTAGTTGGTTCATTGTGCCTCCTGCAGTGTTGTGAAATAAAGCAGACTGTGGCTGAGGTGAAGCTGTGGCTCCCTGGATCCCAGGCAAGTTGTTTTGAGGGGAATACAGAGGAGACTGTTGCATGTCTTGTTGGCTTATACTGGTCTGCAAGGCAGACATGGATGCTGGAGAGAGGAAGAGTGTAACTTGCTGCTCTTGAGAACTAGGTGACCCTTGTACCAACTGAATCTGAGGAGAGCTATGGAACAAGGAGGGCTGTGAAGATTCAGACTGAGTAGGACCAGGATTCTGAAGTGAGGAAACTGTGGGCTGGTTCTGAAATTGCATGGGCTGCTGCTCTTGATTCATTGAGGCCATATTACTTTGTTGGTGAAAAATTGACTGGTTCTGTTGCTCCTGACTAGCCATTGGATTTTGATTTGGACTAAACATCATGTTTGGTGGTGGTTGCTTCTGAGATGCCATTGAAGCCATGGTATTCTGATTACTGAACAAAAGGCTCTGCTGCTGTTGCTGCTGCTGTTGCTGCTGCTGCTGCTGTTGCTGCTGCTGCTCTTGAGATGGAGAGTTACTCTGCATGGCCACTATTGGGTGCTGTGCCTGGAAAATTGCTCCTTGTTGGTTCTGAGGCATTGGATTAGGTGGAAGGGAGCCCAGTGATACCTGAGGCTGAAATAAACCTTGCTGGGAAGATTGAGCCTGTTCTTGGGAAAGCATAGGGCTCTGGATGTGTGATATTGGAGACTGCTGTTGGAAAGCAGCTTGCTGTTCAGTGTTTGATGTTGACTGAAGTGGAGAGATTGAGTTCTGTGCAAAAAATGAAATCTGTTCTTCTTGGGCTACTGCGTTAGTTTGAAGATTATTCATAGGACTTTGCGAAAGAAATATGTTGGGTGACTGCTGGTCTTGGGGAACTGAAGAGCCCTGTAACACAGCAATAGTACTCTGAGAATGAAACATTGGAGGCTGCATTTGTTCAGAGGATGGTGTAGAAGTCTGACTGTGGACAATAGGATTTGGACTATGAAAAATAGAACCTTGAGTTTCCTGGGTAAGATTCTGAGCATCAGCAATAGGATTTGGAGTATGAAAAAGTTGAGCCTGGGAGTGAGAAGACTGCGGCAAAAAATTCCCAGACTGAAGCGACATCATGTCATTCCCTTGCTGGAATAAACCATTACCTTGTTGCTGGGTACCACTATTCTGAACACTCATCATGCCTTTTGTAGATGAAAAAAGGTTAACTTGAGGCTGATTGTCCCCACTATGCTGCATTTGGACCATGCTCTGAAAGACACTGTTCTGAATTTGTTTTGCTTGTGCTCCTGTTTCTTCTCCATCTCCTGAACTTGGTGTCGGAAACATGGTGGTGCCAGGGGTTGCAACTTGCTGTGTGGTGGTTGTGGAAGTTTCATTTCCAGAAACTGCAGGAGGAGTAGAAAACAACTCACACTGCATTTGTATGTCCTCATTGGTAGACAGTGCACTCATCATGTGAGAAGGCTGTTGGTAAACCGGTGACTGTTGAAGGTTTCCATTTGCTGAAGGAGTTGAAGGGAATAACTCTGACTGAATCTGGGCAGCTGCCTGGCAAATACTCTGTTGCATCTCCATCACCATTGCAGCTGATGGTTCCATCACTTGCTGTTGCTGTTGTTGCTGTTGCGGATTAGACAATGTGCTTTCAGTCTGTGGATGAACACTTTCAGCTCTTCCAGGTATTAAATTATCTTGCCTGGTATGAACTGCTGGTTCTGTTGAGGAAAACATTGCAGGACTCACACTATTTTGAATTTGACTGACTTGTTGAAAAATGCCTGCACTGAGCTGTTTCTGAACACTCTCGTTACCATCTGAAGCAGAAAACAAAACTGAAGATAACTGTTGTTGTGCCTCTAACACTTGCTGGACCAAGTCAACGCTTCCACTATTGCTACTAGCAGCACTGCCTGTAAAACTTCCTGCTTGCAACTGCTGAATAGTGTTCTGTAGCTGACTCACACTATTGGGTGATGGAAAAATATTTGATGAAATCTGCTGCTGTAAAGTCTGTGCTTGTTCTTGTAGTGGTGACTGCTGCTGCTGCTGAGAGGCCTCCGTCAGCTGTGACAAATTGACCACTGTAGCATCTGACGGTAATACTTCTCTAGACTGAGTTTCTCTTGCCTGAAACTGTGTAGCCTGCTGGAGTAGTGCCTCACTACCGGGCAGCTGACTAGAGGCAGAAACTGCTGGAAAGGTCCCAGACTGTGAGATGTCCTGTGTTTGGATAGTAGTCAGAGTTTCTGGATTGTATGCCTTGGACTGAAGCTGCTGCTGCTTTTCATTTTCTGAAGGTAAGTGGGAAGATGATGGTGATGAAAAAGACCCATTTCCTGGTATGTTAGAGATATTTTCTAAAGTTTGCTGAGTTGATCCAACTGTCTTTGTAGTCTAAAAAACAAAAAAACCCCAAATAGTATGTATATGTAAACAATTAAATAAGGACACATGATAGTTAAAAAAACATTATTTTTCTAAAAATATATGTAGGGCCTATTTTCCACTCAAATAATCATTTGTAAAACAGGTGCCAAACAATAACAATACATATAATTTTAAAGTACTATAAGCAAAGAATCAAACAAGAAAGTTAATATTCAAATACTGATATACCTTGGCAAATTAAGGGTAATAATGGCACATTAATTCTATGGTTTGTGATCAGCAGATTTCAAAATACCTCCCATTTTGTGGGTCATCAGTAACATTACAGTGGTGAAAAAGGGAGTAGCAGTTATGGAAATGGACTGGGAAGAAAGGGAAATTAAAATGTTTTAATTCCAAAAATGCTAACAGACTCTTCTTTTTGTGGGGTGTCTACAAGGTCTGGCTATGTAGTCCAGGCTGGCCTTGAGCTCATTATGTACCCAGACTGGCCTTGAACTCACAAACACAATCCTCCTGCTTCAGCCTCCAAAGTGTTGGGATTACACATGTGCGCCACCTAAGCCCAACTAAAAATCATTATTTATCAATACTCCTCAACCCACAGGTATTAATTATCTTCTTGTCAAAATGTATAAAACATTCATTCTAAAATGCAAAATTCATTAAGTGTATTCAAAACAAAAAACATGTGAAAGAAACAGGGAAAATAAATATAGTAGTTTTTATACGTGAGGTTAAAATTTGGGGCACTGGTCAATATAACTCACCTTAAAAATAGGCGAAGATCTTTTTTCTGCTGTTATTTCCATTGGAGTAACATCTTCACTCTTAATCATACTGCTTGATATTAGTGGAGTGATCAAGGCATTAGGAAGAATATTTACCTTATCTAAGTTACATCCAGTAGTTTTCATTGCTGTACACACATATACACAAAAAAAAAGAAAGAAAGTTTATTTTTTTTTTTTTTTTTTTTTTTGTCTTTTTTTGAGACAGGGTCTCACTAAGCAATTCAGGCTGGCCTTGAGCTCACTTTGTAGCCCAGGCTTGTCTCGAATTCACAACGATCCTCCTGCCTCAGCCTCCTGAGTGCTGGGATTACAGGTGTGAGCCACCATGCCCAGCAAGAAAGAAAAGTTTAAAACCACGAAAGTAATCAACTAATTCTATAATTAAAATGTTGACACTGTCATGATTTAAATGTCTGATTTTTCTTTCTTTTTTTTTTTTTTTGTCTTTTTGAGATAGGGTCTCACTGTGCAGTTCAAGCTGGTCTTCAACTCTGTAGCTCAGGCTGACCTCAAAATTGCAGCAATCCTCCTGTCTCAGCCTTCTGAGTGCTGGGATTACAGGTGTGCACCACCACACCTGGCTAAATGTCCGTTTTTTTGATGCTATAATGGTAGTATGATACAAAATGAGTGGATCAAGATATAGCCTCCCTTTTTTGAAGGACTTTTGGTTTGGCATGGAGAATGAAGTTACACACACACACACACACACACACACACACACACACACACACACACACTCACAGTGCTGGGGATGAACCCAGGGCATCATGCAGCATCTTTGGTCTAGTTTTGTTCTTTTGAGTCAGGGTGGTGCTATGCAGACCAGGATGGCCTTGAATTTCTATGTAGTCCAGGCTAGCCTCAAACTCCCGATCCTCCTGCCTCACCTACTGCCCAGGCTGTGGGCATGTGCCACCATACTTGGCAATTTTTTTCAATACTTAAATACAAGTTTACATTACAGTTCAATTAAACTATACATACATATTCACTAGTAACTGTGTCCCCCATACAGTTACTGTATAATAATAGCTCCATACACAAATTTCTCCAAAATGTGTTTAGATATACTTATTAACCCTTCATGAGAATAGGCAGAGTAAGTTAAGAAAAAGTCTTACTCATCCTAAATTGACCAAAGACAAATATGTTACTGGTGTGGATAAATAAGATAAATATAAGATTTAATATAAAAAAAACTCTGTAAAAAAAGTCAATACAGAAAGATCCAATATATATATCATTATCCAGCTTCCCTCCATGATACTTTTGTTTTGTTTTGTTTTGTTTCATTTTTCTTCTGGTACCAGGAATTGAACTCACAACCTTTTGCTTGCCAGGCAGGCGCTTTGCTGCTGAGCTAAATCCCCAGCCCATGATACTACCTAATACAGTACTTTAACCTCAATATTTACACAGTCCACTGATCTTGTTCAGATTTCTTATTTACTAGTACTCATGTATGTGGGTCTATTTAGTTCCATACAATTCTATCATGTGTAGACTCGTATATCACAACCAGATAGAGAAGTATTCTGTCACAAGTACCCCATGTATTGTCTGCCCTTTATAACCTTACCCACTTAATTTCTACCACCCCCTGCATACATTCTATTGTGGCAACAACAATCTGTTCAACATTTCCATAATTCTGTTTTTTTAAGTATTCAGTCTTATTTTGTGTGCCAGGTATTAAACTCAGGACTTTGCACTCGCCAGGCAGGCGCTGTGCCACTGAGCTATCTCCCCAGCTACATTTCCATAATTCTGTCATTTTAAGAATGTCTCATATAAATCCTAGCACTTGGGAGGCTGAAGCTGGAGGGCTGCTGATAGTTCAAGGCCAGCCTGGACTATATGGTGAATTCCAGGCCAGCCTGAATAACATAGTAAGACCCTACCTCAAAAAAAAAAAAACAAACCCAAGAAGTTTTATAAATGAAATCACATAGAATTCACAGAGTATGACTTTTTTTTTTTTCCCCAGTACTAGAGGTTAAACCTGGGGCTTTGTGGATGCTAAGTGAGTGTTCTACCACTAATCTACACCCCTAGCCATTTTACAAATTTCACTTTGCAACACCATCTTGCTAAATAGCCTAGATTGGCCTCAAACTTTTGATATTTCTGTCTTGCCTTCTGGGACAGCTGGGATTATAGGTATGCCCCACCTCAGGGGGCAGACTATAACCTTTTGACCTTAACTCTTTTCATCCAGCATAACTCTCTGGAGTACATTCAATTTATGGCATGTATCAATAACTTGTGCTTTTTACAATTTTTTAAAATTTTTTTTTCGTGCTTTTTTTTTTGTGAGACAGAAATCTTTTACTGGCCTGACTAGCTTACCTAGTGCAGGGTCAGGTAGAACATACCCATCTTCCCTAGCTCCCATCTTCCCTCTCCTGGGAGCTCATGGGTCACCTCAGGAGGAGCATCCAGGGCAGGCAAAGCTGGGGGGAAACAGAGGGTGGAACCTGGAACTAACTCAGGGCAATACAGAAGATGTGGGGCTTGTTGATGACCCAACCAGGTAAAATGTCCATCTGGGTAGAGGGAAGCTGGCACCCTGTGCAGGTCCTTCTGCCTTTGCCAAGATGAGAGGGGTCTCAAGGGAGAATGTTCCCGAGAGGCTCACTGTGCCCTTCGTGCCATCAGCATCTCCCAGATACTGTCCTTAGCTTCCTTAACACTCTGCTCCATGTAGGACTTTTTCTGCTCTACGTCTTTAATTTTTTCTTCTGCTATTTTCTGTTTCTCCAATTACCTCCTTGGACCAAAGAGTAAACGTTCTTCCCATACCCTCATACATGTCAGTCTCATCTACCAAAGTCATAATCTATCTGTAGATATGCATGCTTTTTTGTTCTGTTCAATCTGAATGTCTGCAAGCTTCACCTTCTGCTGAGTGTCAGTAACTCTGGCTTGAAGCTCTGTGAAGGCATTCTTCAACTCTAGATCCACAGGGGCCGCCATGTTGGTGCATTCTAATAGCCATTCCTGAGTAGTATTCCATGGTATGAATATGGCAGTTTGTTTAATCATTCATCCACTGAAGGACAACTGGTTTGTTTATAGTTTTTGGCTATATAAATAAAGCTTTTTGATGATTCAAGTACAAATTTTCTGTATCAATTTAATTTTCCTTCCTTTTCAAATCTATATGCCTCTTTTATTGCCTTATTGAAATGGATAGAATTTTAAATTACTATACTGAACAAAAGTGGTGAGAGATCCTTGCCTTGGTTCTTAGACTTGGACGAAAAGCATTCAGTCTTTCACCAGTAAGTAGAATGTTAGGTATTTGTAGATATTCTTTATCAACTGGAGATATTTCCTCTCTATTCCTAATTTTCTAAGAGATTCCTAATTTTCTTTTTTTTTTTTTTGTAGTCTTTTTTGAGACAGGGTCTCACTATGCAGTTCAGGCTGGCCTTGAGCTCACTTTGTAGCGCAGGCTGGTTTTGAACTCACAACAATCCTCCTGCCTCAGCCTCCCAAGTGCTGGAATTACAGGCGTGCACCACCACACTCAGCTTGATTTTTCTTTTTTAGTGGATTATACTGATCACTCTTTCTCTTTCTCAGTACTGGGGATTGAACTCAGGCCCTTTGCACTGAACAGGGTCTTATTAAGTCATTAAGATGCGCACATGGGGCTCAAATTTGTGATTCTTCTGCCTCAACCACTTAAGAGTGCTGAGATTACAGGTGGGAGCCACCATGTCTGGCCTACATTCATTGGTTTTCTAAAATGAACCAATCATGGAAGCCAGGTGTGGTGGTGCATGCCTGTAATCCCAGCACTCAAGGAGGCTGAGGCAGGAGGATCACTGCAAGTTTGAAACCAGCCTGGGCTACAAAGTGAGCTCAAGCCCAGCCTGAACTGCATAATGAGACCCTGTCTCAAAAAGACACAAATAAAAATAAAATAAAATAAATGAACCAATCTTGTATACCTAGAATAACTCGCACTAGATTGTAGTGTATTATTTTTTGTACATTAATGGATTTGATTTGCTGGTATTTTGGTACAGAACTTTTGTGTCCATAAGAAGTACTGACCCATAGTTTTCTTTCTTTTTAATACCTTTCCTCTGTTATTTGTTTTGCTTTTCAATGGAGTATTATTATGTTGCCCAGGCTGGCTTCCATATTTCAAAGTACTTTTATGAGTGTTGAATTATTTCCAAGGTATTGGGTAGCATTTGGTAGGGAAGAGGGATGAAAAATGAGCCTAAAACTATTTTGACCAGGAACCCAGAAGTGCACTTAAATGGGACTTCAAATAACATAAAATGGCTTGAGAGATGTTACTATTACCCTTCCCCTTTTCTATTTTTTCTCTCTCTCTTTTTTCCCCTTGAGACAGGGTCTCAACATGTAGCCTAGGTTGGCCCTGAACTCTTCAGTGATTCTCCTGCCTCAGCTGAGTGCTGGCATTACGGATGTGCACCACCATGCCCTGTTTACATTTTCAATATGCATATATTGAGGCCTACAATGTTCCAGATTCTGAAGAGCTAATGATGGATAAAATTCCTACTAGGTAGAAATTACATTCCAGCAAAGAAGAAAAAGTACAAACAAGTAAAATCTGTTTACTACTTATGGGAAACCTTTCAGCCAATTTAGAAAATTCAGATGGGAAGTAAGAAAGACATATTTAACCATCCTAATATTTATTTTAAGTTATGGAGAATATTAGTACTAAGAGTTCATGCCAAACAACTTTAAAACAGCTTTCTCGTCTATACATGCCCAACAATAATGCTAGAAACTGAGAATAACAATAATTTCTACTAAAAGCAAGCACTTTTAGAGGCTGGGGATATAGCTCGGCGGCATAAGTGTCTGCTTGGCAAGTGCAAAGTCCTGAGTTCGATTCCCAGTACAAAAAAAAAAAAAAGCATTTTAAAATCAAATGTAAATTATTAAAATATGCATTAAAATAAAATATGCACGAAGATTTATAAGACAGGAAATAAAAGACTAAAAAAAATAGACATTTGCAGGAACACTAAGTTGTAAGATTTTTATCTGTATTACCTTTAACAAATCGCTTAACCTTTCTAGACCTTGGTTTACTCAACTGTAAAATGAGATTAAACTAGATTATCTCTATGGTTCCTCCAAACTCCTAAATCTTGCCATGCCGTTAGTTATAACCAGTTGAAGTGTATGCTCTCAGCTGTTTTTCACATACATCCAATTAACTATTCCACCCAAAGCTGAAACTGAAAGAAGCCACATGGATTATTTTATCTCTAGGTCCTAACCTTGCACCTGAGTCTTTGAGCAATCTATTTGTTTATACTCAAATTTATCTGAATCTATACAGATATAGAAAACTTTTGAGAAATATTCCCAAGACATTTTAAAAACTTTTTTTTTTCTTTTTGAGACAGGGTCTTGCTATATAGCCCAAGGTAGCCTCGAACTTGTGGTGATCCTTCTGCCTCAGCCTCAGGAGTGCTGGGATGATAGGTGTCTGCTATCATTCCTGGCTTCCCAAGAAACTTTTGACAATAGAGACCACTGTATTTTCTATCTTATTTGACAGGATATATAGACAGCTGGATAAAGCTTACTTTAGAGCAATAGTAGTCCAAATCTAGCCATCCTTTGGGTATCAAGTTCTAAATCTTATTGTAATTCACAGTTATAAGGATCCTTAAAGGATTATTGTCGTAACACAAATTTAAAGTTCACATACTGTAGAAAGTATCACTGATCAAAATTCCATACAGCACATTGATATAGTACTAAAGCTCTGATTTCAAAGAATTATAAAAGTAAGCAATGTGTGAAGGATATTATCTGCTTCTGAAAGCTATTATTTTTTTTATTTAGTCAGTGTCTTGGTTACTTTTCTCTCATCGCTGGTACAAAATACCCCACGCCCAAAATTAAGGAAGGAAAGCTTTATTTAGCTCACAGTTTGTGGAGGTTTCAGCCCATATAGCTGTCTCCAAGGCAGGGTGACACATGGCACAGGGCAACAACTCATGGTGGCAGAAAACAGTAAAAGGAGCAAGAGCAAAATGGAGGAGCAGAGAGAGCAAGCCTTTTTCCCCTCCCTTAAACTGTATGCAAACTTTCCGCCCCAGGGAGGGTGTAGCACTCACACCTATAATCCCAGTATTGGATCATGAATCAATCAAAAACTCTAGAAACCTGCCCCATGACTGCATGAGGCTTTGCAGGGGACATAGAGACACAAACCATAACAGTCAGTAATCTATTAATTGACATTATCATTTTTATTGGGGTTTAAAACAGGGTGTTGCTATACAGTTCAGGCTGGCCTTGAACTAAGTTGCCCAGGTTGGAATCCAATTTGTGATCTTCCTGCCTCAGCTCCCAAACAGATGAGATTACAAGTGTGTACCACAATGCCCAGCTAAACTTCTAATTTTTTAGTTCTGAATGAACCCAAATAGTTGTATTTTTTTCCCCTTTTGAGACAGGGTTGTCACCATGTTGCCCAGGCTGCTTTTGGATTTGATTCTTCCGGCCTTAACCTCTGAAGTACCTACTATTCCAGGCACATACCATAAAGCTCATGATCTTCTGTAAGAAATTTCATATTGGGGCTGAGAATGTAACTCCAAGGTAGAGCACTTGCCTAACACGTACAAAGTTCTGGGTACAATTCTTAGCACCAAAACCAAAACCTGGATTAGGCTGTGTTCTACTCATGGGATTTTGGGAGGAAAGAAGATGCCTAAAACTTGGTGAAGCAGAGATACAACTCTGCTTGACCAAGATACAAACATCCTTGACTGGGGCTGGGGATTTAGCTCAGCAGCACAGCGCCCGCCTGGCAAGCACAAGGTCATGAGTTCAATTCCCGGTACCGGAAAAACAAACAAACAAACAAAAAACATCCTTGACTTTCTTTTTGTCTTTTAATATTTTAATATACTTTTCTTGGTGAATATTGTTTATAAAATACTGGGTCTCAATATGGTATTTCCCTACATGCATATAAGATTTTGATCATATTTGCCCTCCCTGACTTTAACAGATAATTAATTATGATATTATTTAATAACACGGTTTGAATGCTTTTTTTTCTTACATGTATTTATACACTGAAGCTCAACCAATAATTTTTTAAAAATTCTAGCTAGGTGACCTTTGGCAAATTATTTAACTGCTCTTCAGATTTAGATTCCTCTTCTATAAAAAGGTAACAGTCTGTTACCAGCCTCACAGAGTTTGCAACACTGAACACATGTGAACACAGAATTTTCCTACTGATGATAAAAAATTCACTGTTATTTATAAAACTTATTAAGCATGTTACTCGCCTTAAAAGTAAATATTTTAAATATTTATATATTTTGTTTTGTTTTGTTTTTTTGTACTGAGAATTGAACTCAGGGCCTTGTGCTTTGCCAGGCAGGCACTGTGCAACTGAGTTATAGACTCAGCCCTCAAATATGTAAAATTTGATTTAATTCACATGCATTAAATTCATACTCATATTCCCTTTTATTTTAAAGAGAAAAAAAACCCAAAATTTCAAAATAATACCGAGATGACAATGGTTAATACATTGCATATTGTTATCTTTAGTTACTCACAGTACAGAATATTAGCATTTAGTTGTCCAAACAATATTAGCACAAACCTTTCTTTTCTTTTTTTTTTGGTACTGGGAATTGAACTCATGACCTTGTGTTTGCCAGGCAAGTGCTTTTACTGCTGAGCTATATCTCCAACCCCAAACTTTTCTTTTCAATGAACTAAGAGAAATTAGTAGTATAACTCTCTTAACTATCTTTTTATATATATATTTTACATTGTTTTTTTCTTTTTGCTTTTCCCATCCTTCTTTTCTCCATTCCTCCATTCCAGTTTCTCCTTCCTTTTGACATTTCTTCCCATTTTACAGTATCTATTGTACATTTTGGGTCTTATTTATTCTTTTAGCTTTACTCAGTAGGGAGACAATATGATGTTTATACATGTGTATCTGATTTATTTCACTTATGAGTATGGTCCCAACTTGTATCCATTTCAGAAAGAATGGCCACCACCTAGAGATCGGCCAATAACCAATGCTGGAGGTGCTGTAGGGGAAGGGAACTCTTCTCCACTGTTGGTAGGAGTGTAGACTGGTGCAACCACTGTGGAAATCAGTGTGGAGATTCTTCAAAAATCTAGTATTGATGGTCCCATTTGACCCAGCTATTACCCTTCTGGTTATCTTCCCAGAAGAATTAAAAACATCATATCACAGTGATATATGTGCACCCATGTTTATAGCAGCACAATTTGTAATAGCTAGATCCTGGAAACAACCCAAATGCCTATCAACTAAGGAATAGATAAAAAAAGATGTGTTTTTTCATACAGTGGAGTACTATTCAGCCATAAAGAAGCACATTCAGGGGCTGGGGATTTAGCTCAGCGGCAAAGCACCTGCCTGGAAAGTGCAAGGTCGTGAGTTCGGTTCCTGGTACCAGAGAAAAACCAAAAAAAAAAAAAAAAAAAAAAGAAGCACATTCATATTCAAGGGCAGAAAAATATAAGCAAAAGCCAAAATTAGACAAATATGCCATGATGTAACCTGCACCTTCATATATAAATGCACAAAAGTATCATCGTTATATACCACAGCTGTATTACAAATCTAAGGAAAGAATCTGACCTACCCTCATTATAACATTCTGAAGACAGTTTATGTTCACTATTTCTTTTTTTTTTTTTGGTTTTTCTCCGGTACCAGGAACTGAACTCACGACCTTGCGCTTGCCAGGCAGGCGCTTTTGCCGCTGAGCTAAATCCCCAGCCCCTATGTTCACTATTTCTTGACATCAGCAGTGAAGTAAATAAAGGTGCCAGAAGGAAGACTGATAAAAGCACCCCAAACAACTTTCCCAAATGACTACAATTTGTATTTTGGCTTCTTCAGTCTCAATGCCAAGTACTAGCACTACCAGAAGTGAGAAGCTTCGTACCTTCTATTTTACATTTTGGTACCTTACACACATTACTTTCAAGAGTTTTGATATTAGAAAATTTTAAATTCCTCTATTCCAATGTGTTTTTAAAAATGTGTTTATATGCTTAACAAAGGAAAGTATCAAACTGAACAAGCATCTACAAAGTTAAACAAATACTTATTTTAAAATATGAAAGATGCCCTGCTAAGTGATATAAATACCTAAAAGAAAAAAGAAAAAGTATACCTAAGAGAAAACAGAATACTAAGGTTTGCTAAAAAAAACAGCATTGCCCAATTACATATTTTTGAGACAGGGTCTCGCTATGTAGTTCAGACCTTGAACTCACTAGCCCAGACTGGCCTGAGACTCTCAGCAATCTTCCAGCCCCTGCCTCTCAAGTGCAGAGATTACAGGTGTGCACAATCACACCCATCCCTAATTACAATTTTTGAGAAGAATCAATTTGTTACCTTTCATGGCCTCTTCAAAAGAGCATGGTCTTGCTGGACTAGATATTTCCTTCTTCACAGTTACATTCAAAGTACCAGCTGCTGCTATTAAAAAAAAGTTCATGTACTGCATTTACTTAAATTTATTCATTTTAACAAATTATATTACCTTAAATCTTTTAATTGGCCTATTTTCTCACAAAGCATCATCAACTTACTTGTTTATCAAAAACCCTAAGTTGAGATAAATTGGGGGGGGGGATGTTTTTTGACACAGGGTCTCACTATGCAGTTCTGGATGGCCTTGAAATCACCATGTAGTCCAGGCTGGTCTTAAACTTGCAGCAATCCGCCTGTCTCAGCCTCCTGGGTGCTGGGATTACAGGTGTGTGCCATCGCACTCATCAAGATGAATTTTTTAACAAATAATCTATCCTCTAAAATTTCACTAATTTCTATTGGGCAGAATATATAAGCACTTATCAAAGCAAACCAAAACAGCAATTTTTTTTTTTTTTTGAGACAGGGTCTTGCTATGCAGTTCAGGCTGGCCTTGAGCTCACTTTGTCAGCCTCCCGAGTGCTGGGATTACAGGAGAGTGCCACCATGCTTGGCCTAAAACAGCAATTTTTAAAAGTATTTCCTTAACACTATACCTGTTGCTAATCTCAGATGAACAGAAGATTGATATTAGAATATCAAACATGTAAACATATATATTAGGACCAGCGTGAAAAGATTCATTATATTTACTAATATAATTTATTTAGTATACTCACTCAAAAGCATTAAATATTTAAGCTAAATTTAAGTTCTGAAATTCTTATAATTTATCAATAAAAACAAATAAATGACAACAATGAAATCTCAGCATTTTCAGGACAGCAAAACCTTCAAGGCCATCCTCCTTGTCTTCTCACATAAGTGATGCAGAAGCCAATCAGAACAGATTTGGGGGGATTTTTGAGGGCTTCTAGGGGAAGAAACAAAAGAAGTATTTCATCTTTGACTATAAACCAATCTCTGTTCTGTCTTTTTTTTCTTCTCCTGTTTTCACTGAACAGAATACTCTTTTTCTCTTTTTTTTTGGTGGGGGAAGGGAGCTTTTTGAGACAGGGTTTAGCTATGTACAGTAGTTCAAGCTGGCCCTGAACTCATTATGTAGCCCAGACTGACCTTGAACTCATGGTGGTCTTCTTGCCTTGGCTTCCCAAGTGCTGGGATTACAGGCATGCGTTATTGTGCCCGACTTTTGTAACCAAAATATTACTCCTAAACTTTGCCTCTATATTCCAAAATTTTTACTTGTGGTCTACTCTGAGGCAAATAAATGTCCAGGGGAATTCTGTTAGTGTTATACACTATGGCATACCTCTGTGACAAATTAGTGGAAAATGTTGCAAACTTCAGAAATGATTAAAAAAGAAAATGGAATAAACTAAGAAAAAGTTAACTATCAAGACTAGTTATAACCCTACCGTAGTTACTACCACACACCCACTTCCAAATGTCATCTTGCTATGTTGCCAATACAGGGCTCAGACTCTAGGTTTAAGCAATCTTCCTACATTAGCCTCCCCTAAGTAGCTGGGACTATAGGCAGGAACCACTGTGACTGGCTTTGTTTCCTTGCCACTTTTCTTTACCTTCTATTTCAACAGATCCTGAACGATTTGAGAATAACATCTAAGTAAACTACAGATAGGGAAGAACTGCTAATTCTGAAGTACTGTTGAGACTATTGTTGACACCAATAAAACCTACAGCAGAAGTCAAGCCTAGGTTGATAGAATACACAGTTTTCCATTTCCAAAAAAAATGTTCTTTCTACATTCCGTGAGAAGGCTTTTTTCTTCTTCAGGAAGCTAAATGAATACAAGCAATCAAATCATAAGCGATTTTATTTTTTGAGACAGGGTCTCGCTGGGTAGTTCAGGCTGCCTTGAACTCACTATCAGCCCAGGCTGCCTCAAACTTACAGTAATCCTCCTGCCTCACTTTCCCAAATGCTGGGATTAAATGTGTGCGCCGCCACATCCGGCTTCATAAGACTTTTTTTTTTTTTGGTCTTTTTGAAACAGGGTCTCACTATGTATGCAGTTTAGGCTGACCTTGAGCTCACTTTGTAGCCCAGGCTGGCCTTGAACTCACAACGATCCTCCTGCCTCAGCCTCCTGAGTGCTGGGATTACAGGTGTGCGTCACCACGCCCGGCTCCAAGACATTTTAAAATCAGTTATAATCACTTACTACTACAAGCTTATCCCTCCCATCTGTCAAAATGTATGCTACATGGCTGCCTATGTAGCTCATTGCTATGCTTAGCACACATGAGGTCCTCGGTTCAAACCTCAGCAACCCACCCCCAACAAAGCAACCAATAAACCAGCCAAAGTAAACTAATAGCAATTTCCTACAGTTTCCACTTTCATCTTTCTGCACACAAGAAGTACTCGATAAATGGCAGTTCTACAGAGTCTAATCTCAAGCTTTTCTAGTTTTTCATTTTCTAGCTTTTCTTTCATTATTAAAGTATAAGACACAAATGACTTCAGTAAAATAAGAGTAAAAGTAGTACTTGTTTTTTTTTAGGGAATAATGCCATTTCTAAAATAAGTTAATATTAATTCATCTTACTGAATAACTTTTTATTTTTGGTTGGCTGATCTTTAGCTTTATTAAGACCTAGAAATTATTCATTTTAGTTCACAATGTCTTATTTTGACATACCTGGGTCTGGAGTGTAAGTGAATGGCTGAACATCGTGGGATCTTCCCGCATTGGTCACTACATATATTCCCACAGATACAGGCAAAGTTATATGTTGGTCATGATATGGAGGAACCTTAACGATGAGATGGTTCTAATTAAAAGAAAAGTGTAAGAGTCAGAAAGGAAGCAATATTTAAAATAGTAACAATTAAGTGTATTTCCTATTAAAGTTTAAAGTCTGATTAACGTATTTTAAAGCTCAGGTTCACAGGAACCAGACACGAATCTTACAATTTCTCAAAGTAAAATCCAACTGTTTCATAATGGCTTATAAGGTCCCTGCCCTGTCAACTTCATCACATTCCCACTTTCCTCCAGCTTACCATGACTAGACCCAATGACCTTCCCAATCCATTCTTTTAACATATTATACCCAGTTTTATCCCCACTTGCTGTCCAAATGTGATCTTCTTCCGTCACTTCCTCAAACAGCAGGTTTCTTACCCATTTTCAGATCTTAAACAAATGTCACTTCCTTAGAGAAGCCTTTCTTGATGGGCCTGTTTAAAGTGGTCCTCCTACGCAACCTGGTCACATAATTTTGCTTACTTCCATAATGGAACTTATTTTCACTTGAAGTCACCCTGACTGTTTCTTGTTTTTGTTTTTTGTCCCTCTTCAGTTACAAGAATTTAAGTTCCATGAAGATCCAGGCTACTTTTGTCCATCACTCTTATCTCCTGTAAGGAATAGTCTTATATACAAAAAGCACTCAAATATATTTGTTGAAGAGTAAATTATGAAGAAAACTATATGCCCACTGTTATGGCTTATATCTAGATGTTCCCCAAAGCCTCATGTGAATGTAGATTAAGGGTGTGGATGATGGAAGCCCCACACTGGCAATGGGAGGCAACAATCAGTAAGCTTGTAGCCTGGACAGAATATAAAGGGACAGAAGAAGGCAGGCCTGCCACTGCTGCTCTTTTACTGTGTCCTGCCTGCCCTGTCATGGACTTTTTTTCCTCTGTGACACCACTCTGCCTTGGAGCCAGTCAACCATAGACTGAAACCTTTACAAACTGTGAACCAAAATAAATCTTTCCTCCTTTAACTTTGGGTGTCAGGTATTTCGTCCCAGCAGAGGGAAGTAACCATGCCACCCATAAAGCATAAAGTGAGATAGCATATGTTCTGTACAACTTCAAGATGAGATGCACTTCAAAATGCAGTTTACTACCTTCCTAACCACTTTCTCATTTAAAGTCAAATAGTGTTCAGTATACCCAAACTCGAATAAATCGAAGGTATTTTTAGTTAGAATAGTGGCAGATGTATCTTTACAATAGGGCAGAGCTCATGAATCTTCACTAGCACTTACTCAAAAAGACTACATCTTCTTGGGAGCTAGCATGAACCACATATTAACTTCCTCTTCCTTAGAGTATCCTAACAGAAAGCAACACCAAAAGGTAGTGTTATCCATTTCCAATTATCTTACATGCAAGAGCCCAAAGCAGACAGCATAGGGCGAGGTAAGTTTGAGACATTTTTTTATTCTAGATTATGGCTGGTTGACTCAGTTGAGTAAAACATGGGACAAATAAGTCCAATGCCAAGGTTTCAATTTCTGGGCACTTAAATGTTCGTTTTGTTTGTTGAGACAGGGTCTCGCCATGTAGACCAGGCTGGCCTGAAACTCACAATGATTTTCCTGCCCTAGCTTCCCAACTGCTGGGATTACAAGGGTGTACCAAAATGCCTGGCTTAAATTTGTTTTTGAGCCATTTTAAAACACTCTCTGAAGTTGCTCCAAATTTATAGCATTAACAGACTATGCCTCCTAAATTAGCTCTTCTTTACAAAAGAAAAGCCAACCAGAAGAGACGCAGAATAGCAAAGGCAATTCAGGACAACAAAGGCAAGGCAGGGGGCATCACAATCCCTGACTTGAAATTATACTATAAAGCTACTGTGATAAAAACAGTGGTACTAGCAAAAACAACAACAACAAAAAAAAAAACAAACAAAACAAAACAAAACACCCAAAGATCAATGGAACAGAATAGGAGATGCAGAAACAACTCCAGACATACCCAGCCACCTAATCTTCAACAAAGGTGCCAAACACATTCACTGGAAGAAACAGCTTCTTTAATAAATGGTGCTGGAAAAACTGACTCTGCACATGTTAAAGATTAAAATTGGACCCTTATCTTTCACCATGCACTAAACTAAATTTGAAATGGATCAAAGATCTAAATATTAAAACAGAAACATTAAACCTGCTGGAAGACAGAACAGGTAAAACTCTTGAAGACACTGGTGTAGGCAAAGGTTTTATGAATAAAATCCTGATTGTACAGGAACTAGCACAAAGAACCAACAACTGGGATCTCATCTTATTAAAAAGCTTTTGCATGGCAAGAGAAACCACCAACAGAGTAAAGAGACAACCCACATTGTGGGAAAAAATGTTTATCAGCTATTCCTCAGACAAAGGATTACTACTGAGAACATATAAAGAATTAAAAAAAAAAAAACTCACAAATTTAAAGATCCAATAAAAAAATAGTCATCTGAGATGAATAAACACTTGTTAGATGAAGAAATACAAAAGCCAAATAAATATATGAAAAAATGTTCAACATCACTAGTCATTCAAGAAATGCAAATGACTATTATCAAGAAATCAACCAATAACAAGTGCCAGGGGGTCTGTGGGAAAAAAGGAACCCTTCTCCACTACTGGTGAAAGTGTAGACTGGTGCAACCACTGTGGGAAATCAGTGTGGAGATTCCTCAAAAATCTAGTATTGACGGTCTCATTTGACCTAGCTATTGCCCTTTTGGGTATCTTCCTAGAAGAATTAAAAACATTATACCACAGTGATATATGTGCACCCATGTTTCTAGCAGCACAATCTGTAATAGTTAGATCTTAGAAACAATCCAAATGCCCATCAACTGAGGAATGGATAAAAATGATGTGGTTATTTTTTTAATGTAAGGGAGTACTACTCAGCCATAAAGAAGGATACACTGGAGAACTTTTCTAGGTATATGTATGCAACTTGAGACCATATTCATAAGTGAAATAAACCAGATGCACATGTATAAACACTGTATGGTCTCCCTAGTGTGAGAAGCTGAAAGAGTAAATAAGATCCAAAAAGTATAACAGATATTGTAAAATGGGAAGAAACTTCAAAAGGAAAGAGAAACTGGGATGGGGAATGGAGAAAAGAAGGGAAGAGCAAAAAAAGAAACATATATACATATATATATGTGTATATATATATATATACACATATATATATGAGATAGGGAAAAGCAAAAATATATATATGCACACACAAGATAGTAAAGACTAGTTTCTCTTAGTTCATTGAAAAGGAAAGTTTGTGCTAATATTGTCTGGACAATTAAATGCTGATATTCTGCATTGTAACTAATTTAAAGATAACAATATGCAATGTATTAACCATTGTTGCCCTCCTATTATCTTGTTTTGAAATTTTATTTTTTTTTCTCTTTAAAATAAAAAAGTCCAAAACCCCACATATACTTTAAATAAGGTAAAAGAACAAGTAGTATAAATGTATACACCTTTACCGTTATTAAAGGGGAGAATTTGAATATGGTCATCAAAAACACACCTCGAGGATATGAACTGCTTAGAAACAAGGCTTTTTTATATTGCCCACCCTCATCTTACTCTGCTTAAACACTACTACTATATCACAGAAGCACTCTTATCTAAAAACATGGCTGAATAGAGATGGCTTGTAAAATATTCTTCACTGTTTGACTCCTCTGACAAACAACTAAAATTATTCTTCTGAATTAAAAAAAAATCTTGTCTTTTGTTAACTGGTAATAGGAGCAGTTTTTAAAATTACACACTTATTCATTAAAATACTTCTTGTTTCAGAGCATATTTTAAGCAAATTCCACTTGAAAGCTTTTAAAAACCTTTTTTTAAAAAATTGTTTTGCTTTTAGAGAAGGTCTTGCTATGTAGTTCAAGGTGGCCTTGAACTCACTATGTAGACCAGGCTGGCCATGAACTCAAAGTGATCCTCCTGTCTCAGCCTCTCTAGGGCTGGAATTACAGGTATGTGCCACATGCCCAGCTAAAAGCCTGTTGCATTTTAGTTTGGGTTATCTGTTAAAATTAATCATAATTGTAATGTTTAAAGTTATCTGTAAATGACCGTTCCTATTATATATCCTCTAAGTTACATTAAATACTGTATATATCTTCTGACTTACCTATGTATGCTAGATTTTTATTTTATTATATTTAGTGGTACTGGGGACTGAACCTAGGGTCTCTGCATTAAGCTGTTCTTTAGACAAAGGATTACTATTGAGAATATATAAAGAACTAAAAAAAAAAAAAAAAAAAAAAAAAAGGGCAAAAAACCAGACCTCCCAAAAAAGTTCTCCCTTGGCCCTTTTTATTTTGAGACAGGGTTTCACCAAGTTCCCCAGGCAGGACTCAAAGGTGTGATCCTCCTGCCTCAGCCTCCTGAGTGCTGGGATTACAGGCATGCGGTACCACACCCGGCTTCGTTTTTCTTCTTTTCCTTCTCTTTCCTCCTTCCTTCTCTTCTACCCACACCTATCTATCTATCCATTCACTGGGCTCTACTCGGTTATATCCCCAGCCTCCCAATTTTTTTCTTCCAACATATTTTCTTCCCTTACGTATTTATTTTCTGCTTTGTCCCCTTTAATATGATCTCTAGGATCAATTCCCTAGGATCTCAGTTCTGATTCCCTGGGTTGAGCCCCAAGTTCCGAAACAAACAAAATAATGACTTGTAGTATAAAGTTCTACACTAAATAGCAAGCTAAAATAAAATTTGGGGCTATCCTCACATTAGTATTTTACTTTTTCAGACAAGCTCTTGCTATGTCGCCCAGGTTGGCCTCAAACTCATGGCAATTCTCCTGCCTCAGCTTTCTGAGTGCTAGGATTACAGCCATGTATCACCATACCTGGCAATTTTGTATAATTTGTAAAGTAAGTCGATCTCTTTTTTTTAACCTATTAATCTATATCACAGGAAGAACAATTATAATGTAGCATTTCAAATCAGGGAATTGGCTGGGTGTGGTGCTGCATACCTAAGAGCCCAGCACTTGCGGGGGCTGATGCAGGAGGACTGCTGCAAGTTCAAGGCCACCCTGAACTACATAGCAAAACCCTGTCTCAAGAAGATAAAACAAAACAGAAAAACCAAGAGAATTTTTATTAATCGAACCATTCCAAAAGCAAAAAATGTTTCTGACACAGAGTTTCAGTCAGGATTAAAACTTTGGTATGTAAGAACCTGCTTGAAATTAGGTTTGAAGTATCCTCCGAAAAAGTCAAACAGACCTTAGGTCAGAGTCTTGTTTTTTTCCAAAGGGAATAAAATGAGCTGACAAGTTTTTCATGAGCATCTATTAAGTGACTGGTATTAGGAGCATCACAGAAGAGCTACTCTACATGGTCACTGACCTTCAGGAAGCTTTTAGAGGAAGATACTGTTGGTGTACAGGGAGCCTTCAATTCTTATCTGATTGAGTATCTGAGGTTTTGGTCACTGCACTCTGTCATTTACTAAAACTCTTTTGTGATACAGGGTCTTGCTACATAGTTCAGGCTGGCCTCAAACGCAAGATGGTCCTCTTGCCTCAGCCTCTCACGTACTTGGATTATAGGCCTGCGCCACTAGGCCTGACTAGCAATGTCATTTGTAACACAGGAGCTGTACCAGTTCTGACCTCTGGTGGAACTGGAGAGTACAGGTCACCTGCACCGACAGCATCTAATCAAATCCAGATAAAACCTCTGCACAGCAGAGGTGGGGGTGAGCCTCAGAACTTCTGCATTTGGTCACACAATGCTGTTTTGAGATACGGCAATACATCCTGGAGGGTAACTTTTGGCCTTTAGGACTCTCAGACCTTGCCCCATCTTTCCACTTGGCTGGTTCTGATTCGTACCCTTCCATTGTAATAAGCCTGTAATTGTAAGTACAGCACTTTCCAGACTTCTGTGAATTTTAGCAAATTATTAAATCTGAGGAGACAACAGGAAAACATAGATTTGGAGTCAGTTACTTAGGTGGGATGATGGCCTGGAAACCTCTGAACCTGTGGCTGGTATGTGAACTGGGGGCAATTTTGACCATGGCCATGGCCTTGAGTTTGGCAATACACTGGATGTAAAATATTTAATAATTTTATTAAGTTTTTACACAGAGAATAATAAAAAAATTAAAAACCAAAGAAATTAGGAACATTCTGGATAAACTGGCTATATTTTATCCAATTCTAACATTTTCAGTCATGCTGCTTGCTTTCAAGTGCTATTTTCTATCTCTATCAGCTCCATATACTAAATTTTGGGCTTTAGTTATTTTGTACAAATTAACTTGACCTCTACTCCATCCATACATGTAAATACTACCCTTCTGCATGTGTCTTATCATAAATTTGGCCTTTCTCATTAGTCTCAATTTCTATGGGTTTGATCCTTCTGTACTACATAATAAATATCAAATCAGGTCATTATCCTTGTTTTGTAGTTGCCTTTTGTTGTTATGTGGAAAACAATTCATGGCAGAGTCCTACAAACAGATTCTGTCGTATGTTTTGAGATAATGGGAATAGAATCCAAGAAGTGTTGAGCTATATCCCTAGTTCTTTTACCCTTTTTACACTGAGACAGAGTCTCACTAAGTCGCCCAGGTTGGTCATAACCTTGAGATCCTCCTGCCTTAGCTTCCAGAGTAGCTAGCATTATAGGCATGCACCACCATACCCAAGACGGGGAAAATCCCAGTACCCTCCCCCAAAAAAGAGGGGAAAGAAAAGTGTTTTATTACAAATAGAAACTTTTGCTACTGCTCTTAACTTTTGAAAACAGAAAATTAGTTATGCCTGGCATCAGAGGAATAATTCACTTCAGTTACAGAAACTCAAAAAAGAAAGTTTAACTGATTCACATCAATCCATATGATAACATTTAATCTATGTATTAAAAATTTTTTCAGAGCAAAACTGAGTTACTCAGAGAGTAAACCACCAAATTATAAAAAGGGTCAAATTCTACCTGATGAAATAATTCCATGTCGATTTCAGCTTCTGATTTCCAAGAGTTTTCATCTGATTGAAATAAAAACAGAGACTTACTAAATTTTTTGAACTGTTTTACTCTGTAGGTATCTTTATAACAAAATAAAACATAAACAATCTTTGTACCACTAAGATGCCTACTTACCAGAAACATTTTCCTGGAAAATAACTTTAGTTCCTTTAAGAAAGTTCTTGCCGATTAAAAACACCTCTTCCTCTCCTTTCACTGAACAGCTATGCAAGCTTTTCTTTAAGATCTCTGGCACTCCTGCTGGCTGAGCTGTGGGTATACACAAGCATTCCATAAAAAGAACCAACACTTATTTCTTACCTATGATCAAATTATATTTATATAGTCAGGTCTATGAGTTGTCTTACTGACCCTGAATTTAAGTTATTCAGCAGCTTAACTTTTATAGTAATAGACGGCAGAGAAGAAAATCAGAAAAGTACATATTAACTCCTAATGAATTTTGTTAAGACTTCACAGGCACAGATAAATGCCACCTTTGTCCTTATGTAAGTGGTAAAAGTTTGAAAAAAATGAACTTGGTCTTGTTTTATCTTAGTAATTTTTTTTGAAGTTTTGGTGGTGGTAGGGATCAAATCCAGGGCCTTATGTATGCTAGGCAAGTGCTCTGCCACTAGATTACATCCCCAGGCCTTATCTTAGTATTCTTTAAAAATTAAATTTTTAAAAAACAGGCTTGTCCCACAGTCCTAACCTTTAAAATATCAGCTATGCTAGATCATTACAAGGTCTCTGAGGTAATGAGTGGGATGTGGATGGTACTGAGGATATCTTTAAGGATCTAGACACAGGACCCAGAGACCCCAACCCCATACCAAAAGAACACCTAAAATTCAAACAAATCCCCTTCAGAACAATTTGCTTCAGCAGGTAGCTTCTCTGAACCAGGAAACCTTGATGGTAAAACAAGACGCATTTGTTTTCAACTGCAAGGAGTAATTACTACTAAAACTGACGAAGACAAGGACTGAGGAGCAAGAAAAAACAGGAAATTGTAATTAGCCTATCAACTGCCAGGATTTCCTTAAGAAAAGTTAATAGGTATTACTTAGGAAAACAGGTTCCAAAGTCAAGCAGATCTGGGAAATACTGGGTTAAAAAAAAAACTAAACAAAAATATTTCTACAAGCATTTCATATTCTGTATACAAATATCTAAGAGGTGCAAACAGTATACAGTTTTCTGAAAACATTTGACACCAGAAACATTCTTCCTTACCAATACCTATAAGGACTAATTTCCAAAAGATCACTCTCTGGGATTCTAATGTACAATGATCTACTTTAAGCACTCTTTCCTTAAAGGACTTTTTCCTTTATGGTTAACACATTCCTGTTGGTTTGACCCACTGGTAGTACAAACAGATCTAATCACTTTTTTTAGCTTTTTGAGACAGGGTCTCACTGTGCAGCCCAGGCTATTCCCAAACTCACTATGTAGCCCAGGCTGGCCTCAAACTCACGATGATCCCCTTGTCTTGGCCTCCCGAGTGCTTAGATTACGGGCATGTGTACCACACCCAGCTCTAATCACTTTTACTGGTCTTTTTACTAACCAAATTAATAAAAAGCCACTCAAGAGAATAGTCATGCATGTACCACCAGTGGTTCAAGCTGCAGTGAGGCACATAAATAGGTAAGGCCCCATCATGAATATATAAGCACTGTGTCAAAGCCTATACCACTTGTTTTTGTCTTTTTGAGACAGGGTCTCTCTATGCAGTTCAGGCTGGCCTTGAGCTCACTTTGTAGCCCAGGCTGGTCTTGAATTCCCAATGATCCTTCTGCCTCAGCCTCCTGAGTGCTGGGATTACAGGCATGTGCCACCTGGCTTGGCCTACTACTTGCTTTTTTAACAAACCCCTATAACACGGTACAAGGTAAACAGATACTGTTTATCTAACTTATCGATGTCCAAATTACTGAGACTCTTCAATAAACTGAGAATATCCTCATGTACATATTCAATAGTGAATTTTACGCCTTTATAAAAATGCTAACAAAGGGGCTGGGGATTTAGCTCAGTGACAAAGCGCCTGCCTGGCAAGCGCAAGGTCGTGAGTTCGGTTCCCCGTACCGGAGAAAAACCAAAAAAAAAAAAAAAAAAAAAAAAAATGCTAACATGGAAAGTTGTTATTAGAAAATAATCATGGCCCCTCTTTTCCCTAGGCCTCTCCTTACAAAAAGGCTATAATTCTTGGCCCACTGATACCAAGCTTAGCCACGTGGCTTATGAAGTAATATGCCAAGCCCAAGCAAAAGCATTAAGGGCCACCATAGTTCCACCACCTCTATTGTAACCCACTGTTTCTTTATCGACTTCTCTCTTCTTTTTGGTTGTTTATACTAAATGTAAACATAAATGAAGCATCATTCAACCTTTACTCACTGTAAACAAGTACCCTATCTTTGTTACATGAAACTGAGTACATATATACACACACACACACTGTCTAGAACTCAGAGGATTAATATATGAATGGACTGTGAAGGGCTATTGGTTGAAAACTGGCAATTATATACCCTTTCAAATAAAGAATTAAACCAAATAAAAGTAATTTTCTGGAGTAGTAACAACACGTATTTGTTCTTAAAATATTTGAAAAATATATTAAATATTATTTTGATTAAATACCACCACACCCAGGCTAACTTCCAATCTTTTACAAGGTCCTCTGTTTTAAAAATGTTTAATGGTTACTGTAATGGTTTTTATCTAGATGTCCTCCCAAAGCCTGTGTGCTCATAGGTGGGGCTTCTGGGAGCTAACTGGATCACAGAACATGGTACTCATCAAATTAGTCCACAGATGTGTTTACAGCTGAACATGATACTGAGAGGTAAACCCAAGCCAGAGGAGGTGGGTCACTAGGCTAGAGGATCCCCCTCCCTTCTCCCTTACTCTCTCTCTGCTTCCTGTCTGCCATGCCATGAGCAACACTCGTCTGCCATGCTGCCACACCTTGACAGGAGTCAGCTACAGACTAAAACCTCTACAAACAATGAGCCAAAAATAAACCTTTCCTCCTTTAATCTGTGGGTGTCAGATACTTTGTCCTTGCAACAAGAAAGTAACTAAAAAATACAGTTACCTAACAGCAGACTCCAGACAGAACAGAACTTCAGTCCGAATTATTTAAGCATTAACTGTTTTATTTTCATTTTCAATTTATAGGCTGACCCCTCCCCACCGCCCAGTCCTGGCTGGCTGGATTGAATTCAGAATCTTGCATATGCTCTACCACGTAAGGTAACTCTTGAAAGTGATTATATTGCTTGAAAATTACAGCATACACATAAAAAGCCAGCCACCTTTCTAGTGTTTTAGATGTTTTTTAGACAGCAGTTTAAAATATAAAGCTAAAAAGTTGTAATGAGTACCTGGATACTAAAAAAAAACTAAGCAAATATTTCAACCTGTCAAATAAACTAATGAAAGTCTATGAAAATTATTTAGTAGAAAGTTATAGAATAAAAATCATGTATCACATCAAGGAAGTACTAATTGTATGTGATATTTTGAGACAGGGACAGTTTAATTAATGATATTATCCTTTCCCCAAACTTGTGAGACAGGCAGAAATAAGAGAAGTAGAAAATTGTTGAATGTGGATTTAATTTAGTAAGTAACATGAAATAAAATATTATATAATACACAGGAAAGTCATAATATTGTCATATTAAAATTACTATAGAAGGGTATAATGAACACGAATAGTCTTAACTTAACAAAATAATATAAACTTATACACCAAAACCCAAAAACATATACACCTACACTATCTGGAAAATTCTATATATGTTTTTTTTTCTATAAATGTTAAGAATATAAAAGGGAATGATTCTTCCATCCCCTTAGAAACAAACAAAAAGACAAAAGATCCAACAGCCATTGTTAATTCAACAATTCAAAGCAGAGATTTTTTTTTTTAACCAAACAAAGCACAGCATGAATGCTGGCATTAGACCTTTTTTCCACTAGACAGAACATCAAGCATCACTTTCCTCTCTCTCCTGTCTATCATCTGGTCCCTTTTCCTTTTCCACTTCCTTCTCATCTTCCCTGTTTTCTTCTGTCTCCCACTCCAGTTCCAACCTTTCTAACTCGTCTTTTCCTTTCCATCTCTCATCCTACTGCAACTAAACAAACCTGCCCCAAAAAGGGTTGTATTCATGGAAATAAACCAAAAACTCACAAAAGAACAAATATTCTTATTTTACAGTAATTGTTTAAATAAAAAGATTTTTTGAGTCCTTTGTTTCACTGTATATTATTTATAGTTATTCTTCCTCTTCTCCCATTTCCATCAGTCCCAAAAGCCTTAATTCAAAATTCAAGATTCTTAAAGGGATCCAGATTACAAATTCAAAATTTTGCTTAGTAGTTTTTACAAAAAGAGACCTTGTCTCATTGTCTAACTTCAATCATTACATCATTTTTTGTCCCAAATTTATCAACTCTTTAATTTCTGCCAAAAGAATCATACCCTTTTCAAGGAATTCATTGACACAAAGATCCCCCTGCCAAGTCTTTTAAATCCCATTTTGCCAGTCTGTCTCCAATTGTCCTTTAAATCATAACCTAAGGTTTACCATCTCCAGTCTCAATCAGATTTTCTTCTGTTTCCACTATACCTTATTCCCATACCTACTGCAAATATATAGTACCTTTATATAAACTTTTTAATACAGTTCAAAGTTTATGTAATTTTACTTTTTAATTTTATTTATTTATTTTGAGACAGGGTTTCTCTCTATAGTTCAGGCTGGCCCTGAACCTATGGTGACACACATGCCTCAGGCTCCCAAGTGCTGGGGTTACAAGTATGCACCACAACCCATGGCTATAATTTTATATATACATATAGTATATGGAAGTAAAGAAAATTTTGTAGGGGCTGGGGATTTAGCTCAGCAGCACAGCACCTGCCTGGCAAGCACAAGGTCGTGAGTTCGATTCCTGGTACCAGAAAAAAACCAAAAAAAAGAAAATTTTGTAATACACTCCTCCTGTCTATAAACTCTTTATACTTTCATTTCTCTAATTCTAGAGTTTAGCACAATGTTAAGAATCCACTAAATTAACTACGAAACTGAGGGTGGTAGTCTGCACCTGTAATCTCAGCTACTGTTATGAATTTGAAAACTCAGGTCAACATAACATATCAAGAACCAGTCTAAAAAGCAAAACAGAACTACGAAGCTTTGCAAAAACAAAAACAAGCCTTATACTCCTTTGGAGATTTTGAT